TGTGTAACTGCAGCTCTCACTACCATTAACTCTGAGGAGCTTAAACAACAATTGCTTGGATCATATTCCATGTTGTATCCTTGTAATTCTTTGTTTTTTGAACAGTAACCTCTTCTTTCTCTACTCCAAACTGTCCTGGTCAGGGGTTGTGCACTGGAGGGTTTAAGCCAAGTGTGCTGCACACTGAGAAAATGTGAATTTTTTAGTGTTTGCAATGCTGGTCCCAGCCAGCTGCACATGCCCTGCAGTCAGTGTTGGGCTGTTCATCCTAAAAGCGATTTATTAGTTTTGCATTTTAGTTTGCCCTTTAACACAATCAAGACTTTCAGCTCAACCTGCTGTAACCACATTCCCTCAGACCCTTCCAGCTGAAGGAGAGACAATTATTTTAATGGAGATGACTTTGCTCAGTCACTTTTCCCCAATCTCCCTGACTGACAGCTGTCAGTCTCCTGCTTACAGACACTCCCAGTTTGTGGCACAGTGTTTCCCATTCCAGGCAGTGATCTTAATTTTAGTGCACTGAGTTGCATAGGCAGCTACTAAGGCACGTGTCAGTGCAGAACTTAATATTCACCTTGTTCCTTCCAGGGTATCAGCACATCTCGCTGCTCAGAAGCACAGGATCTTAGAACTGCATCCAAAGTTGTAAAGTATTCTGTGGTTTTTAACTGCCTGTGAGAAAATTGTGATAGAGCTTCAAAGTTGTGCACTATGTTAGAGACACTTCAACCAACATCTGAAAGACACATCACAAAATACTTAACAGGTTTTTTTCCCTTGAAAAGAGCCAAATAGTTAATACCTCATAACACAACTTGAATTGCAGAATATTCATCAAAAACTTCACTTAGAAATATTTTTCCTTCGGCACAGGGTCTCTGCAAAGCACAAAATCTGGAGCAGAAGAGTTGCCACCTACTTGGCAAAAAATAGTATTTCGAAGTATGACAGGCATATATTTGGCATTTGGTGTTGCTTGGTAGGTAATTGTAACCCAACCTGTGAATAAAACACCGCTGCCTCTGTGCTCTGCAGAATCCTCCACGTGCTCCAGCACTGCTGTTACATCCCAGCATCCCAGAAGGGGTTTTCCATGCCCTTTCAGCTTGCATTCACTTTTTAGTGCATCAACTTGAAGGGCACAGATAAAATTATCTTATTTGCAGGAAGTTGTAATTCTTGGCACAGTAAATTTGAGCAAAATAATAGTTAAGAAGGGAAATTTTAATAAATACTGAGAGCTTCATAACTAGTTTTTAATCATAAAAGTATACATTCAGAATAGGTGATGAAAACACTATTTACTGGTAACATAGACAAGGATGAACAACTTAAAGTGTCAGAGATGGCATTGTACTTCCCAGAATGAGGACCTGCACTACAAAATAATCAGGAGCACTGAAAAATTCTATTATTTCATTAAAGCATTAAACTACCCATTAAAGAAGGGCAAGTAAAAAATGAAAAACAGAGGGCAACAAACAAACAAACAAACAAACAAACAAAAAAGACTTCTCAATAACGCCTTGGGGAAAGATCCTCAGAGATAGAGAGATAGGAGCTTTCTGCTCTCAGGAAATATTACGGCTCAAATTTGGCACAATTGAGTCAACACAGATGGACGTGATTTCACTGCATCAAGGCCAGAAACAGTCAGGAAATCTAATATTTTGTTTAAGCCTTGTCTGTTCACTTGTTTCCTAACTCATCAGTTTTATTCACCTACTACTTTTACAAAGGGGCAGGAGACAAGAGCATCCCCATCTCCCATGTGAAATGGGAAGGAGTCAAGATCCAAGACTTAAGTAGAGAGTGCTGACAGATGCAGAAAATAAGCACATTTTTCAACTCCTATATTTCCCTCAAGCTGCGGTATGAGACATCAATCTTAATTACATAAGATCCATCTTTTTTAGACAAGTACACCTTTCAGACACCAACATGCTCCATGTAGCCATGCCTTCCATAACCATAAATAATATTTCTTCTTGCAGCCAGCATTAGGAGTCCTACCTTTATAGTATATAATGCTTACAGTTAGATCTAAAAATCAGATTTCAAAGCTACAATATGATAAATTAGTGATGCCAATTTTTTTAACCCAGCCATTGGTCTCTTCTATCCTGTATTTCCAACTATCTCAACTTCCCCCAGTGCAAGCAAATACCGAACAGCTCTTTCGTCCTAAACAAAGCTTACCTGTCTGCTCAAAGAGAGACCAACGTTAATATTTCCATTAAACTCCTCCTAAAAACTAGGCAAAAACCTGGTAAAGCCAGCAGATGTGCAGGGCTGGCAGAGAAGCAGTAGGTCCCCCATAAAGGAATAAAAAAATACTGGAAGAGAGACTGAGTGGGAGTGATAGTTTGGACGGAATGAGATAAGACTCTTTAGAAAATAAATAGTAAGTAAGAGCATTACTAAAGAAAAAAAAATGGTGGGAAAGACAGCAAAAGCAGTGAGAAAAGTCAGAGGAGAAGGGGAATAGAACAAGTACACAAACATCCATCACAGATGACACGGGTATGAGCCGATCCTGCCCGGGGCAGCAGTGCCTGAGTCCCCTCTGGCCTTGCTATTCCATGTTTAACTTCAAGGGGGCTTTGTGCAGGGCTCAGCACGGGGAGCGAGAACACACTTCAAAGCCCGGCAGCCACGGCCTCAGGACATCCCCTTCCCCTCCTGTGCCGCCAGCAGCAGTGCAGCCAGCAGGGATTACGTGTGCACCGAGGGTGGAGGCATCACTATCACAATTCTCAGTGCTGGGAATTGCACCCTGCAATCCTACCTGTGTGCCCACACCCTGCACTGGGAATGGATCACATTCCGCATCCAGGAGTTAACAACCCTGCTGGCTTCCTCGACACTTGACTCCTGACAGCATTGCTGTCGTTTAAGGGTACCCTTTCCTGGAAACCAGCACGGCATCCTCATCACGTCAAGGACACCAAGTACTTCAATTACAAGAACTATAAAAATCATCAACGTACTGTGAATTTTATTCCTCACGTTTGTCAGCTCTATTACTGATACTCAGTTAAGCTCTAATAGAAAAAAGAAATATAGTCTTGACATTAGAAACAATGACTTCATTTCAGGAAACGCTGAATCCTTTGTCTAATGTATTTACCAGAAGAATAAACTGTAAATGAGACTTGGATAGCCAAGCCTTTATAGCCTACATAAGACAGTGAGTAGATCTGGACTACAATCAGAAAAGTGACATAAAAATAGTTTCACAGAAACTCATCGATGCAAAATCATTCAAGTAAAGGTAAATAAAAATATATTAAAAATACCTATTCTATATCACTACTATAATCCTGATAACTGGAACATGTGATAACAACCACTTTCCTAAAAACTAAACAATCTATTGACATACATATTGAAAACTCACACAGCCCCACTACTCTTCCCGATATATATCTTCTCAAGCAGCTGTGACTGTTTGGTCTCTAAAACTTAACTATTTGATTATGAGGACTAGCTCTGGTTTAAACTGTAATACATCCACGATCATCAATCTCTACCCCAGAGTGACAAAACCTTGCTTTTGCTTTTACAGCCCACACATACAACTGTTTTCACACTTCCAAATGACAAATGAAGCACACAGCATCTTTCCTTTTCTAAGTACCATCGAGTCTAGAGAAGTGAAGCAAGGGACTTGACATTCTTGGGACACCATCACCAGCATCTGCTGTGTTCTATGATCCCGTTCGACTTGAATAAACTGGATTTTATTTAAAGTAAAAAACCCAGTCATCACTTAACTACTTCAGAATGTAACATACTATGCCACATTTGCAATTCAGAGAGTAGATAAACAAAAGCTGCAGCGTTGGACAAGATCTTTCACACTTCGCTGATGTGAATCACTCCAGTCAAACTTCAGACCACATTCGCTTCACCATCTGTGCGCACCATGTTCAGTTGGCAGCACGATGTCCAACAGCCACATCACAAATTTTGGAACCGTAAGACTCGTGCCACTCTCCCTCTGTAAACCCATCTCGCAGTGCACAGCCCTGCCCCTGCTGAGGAGCGGCAGTCCTGGCTGTAACTGCTGTACATCTTAGATGCACACAGCGACACTACACCTGCACGGAACAGGTATTTAGGCAACATTTATACTTCTTTTTTTTTTTTTTTTCCCTGACAGAAGCGTGCAGGAGAAAACGCTATGATAAATCGCCAGTAAAATCAGCAAACACCGATGACTTACAGGCAGGTAGTTTCCCGGCAGTTAAACATCTGCACCCTTTCAACCAGCAACTCCTCTGAGCCCCGGCTGCCCATGTTTCTCGTTCTTCCCTGCGCTCGGGAGCCCCCTCCCGTGCCGCCCTTCTCCCCGCAGCACCTCTCGCACGGCCTTTCGCAGGAGACAGAGGAGCGGGCGCGGTGCCCCCGAGCCCCGCGGAGCGCCCGGGGCTCAGCAGCGCTGCCCTGCCCGCCGGCTCCCGGCCGCTCCAGCCCCGGCGCCGCTTCCCCCGCGGCCCCGGCCCCCCGAGAGCCCGCCCTGCGCGGGCACTCCGCGGGCGCGCATCCCTCCTGCCGGGCCGCCCCGGGAACTTTCCGGCCGCGGAGCGGGGACACCGCGGCCGCCGCGCACCTGCCGGGCTGCCCCGCTCCGAGCGGCCCCGCTGCCCCCGCGCAGCCCCCGGCCGAAACTCACCATAAAGAGGCGAGCGGAGGCGAAGGGTCGCGGCGCGTCTCCCGTCCGGGGGCGGGCGGGCGGCCCCGCCGGGCGAAGCGGCAGCGGGACGCGGCTCCCGCAGCCCGTTCCCTCGCCGCGGGCAGCGCCGCCGCCCCGGCTCACCGCCGCATGCCGCGCCCCCGCCCGCCGCCGCCCGGCTCCCCCGCACCGGCAGCGGGGCCCTGCCCGGCCCGCCCGCGACCTCCGCGGGCAGCGGCGACAGCCCCGGGGGCGGCCCCGCCGCGGCGGTGCCGGGAGCGGAGCGGGCGAGCGGGCGGCTCCGCGCTCCGGCCGGACAGAGGGACCTTCCCGGGCGGAGGCGCTGCCGCTTCTCCAGCCGGCACGGAAAGTGGCTCCGGCGGCGGCGGGCGGGCGGAGGTGACCTTCAAGCCCGGCGGGGCGGGCTGGGGCGGGAGGAGAGCGGCGAGCGGCGGGGAGCCCCAGCGCCGGGGAGGCGGCGGAGCGGCGGCGGAGGCGGGATGCGGCGGGACGGCGGCGCGGGGCCCCCGGGGGGAGCGGGGCTCCCCGGCGGGTGGGGGCGCGGCTGCGCCCGGGATTTGGGATTGGCGGCCGCGCGGCGGCGCCCGGGAACCCGCGGGGACCGGAGAGCGGCCCCCCCGCACCCGCAGCGGGGGATGCGGGGGATGCCCGCGGCCGGGCGCGCTCCGCCGGGGCGGAACCTCCCCGGGTCACCGGTGGCAACTTTGCGACCTCGGCCCGAGGAGCTGCGCGATCCCCCGGCCGGAGCGAGCAGGAGGTACCACCGCTGGGGCGGGAGGCAAACACAGGCACACGCACACATATACACAAAGCGACACTGGGGAAACTGCTGATTAAAACGATGCCCTTGGCGATCCTCAGCCATCTCTGTGCTTCCTCTCCTTCCTCTTTGCCCAAAGCAAACCGAATCTTACAAGAATTCTAATGCGAAGAGCATCTCGCAGCATCCCTAGACGCATGGATTGCTGTTAAATTAGGCTGACGGCGGCTATTAGCGGGAAAGTTTGGGGGGAAATAATAAACATCAAGACCTGTCAGAACAATGCCTCGTCCTTCTCAATACATTAGGTATTGAGTCTGTAACGATCAAACATTTTTGTGCTGCTCAGCCTTCAGTTACAATAAATTAATGCCACTGAGACTGACTTCAGCATGTAAACTGCTATCAATCACAGATGGGTAGTGTGAGCATCACACAGATGTGCTACCCCCTGTGGTTTAGGAGCAGGGAGTTGTTTTAAGTGTGGAGATGGAAATGCAAACCTGTAACAATCAGGTGATAATGAGGAGGCAAGCTTTAAATCATAAGCGTGGGATTCCTTAAAATACTTTAAATGAATAGTCTCCCTATAAGCTCTTTCATCTGTGTAGAAAATAAAGCCAAATATTCTTAAGTTCAACTGCAGTTCCCACATCTATCACGAACAGAAGTACCTCAAAAGCACATATCTATATCCCCCTGCCTCTCCTGACAGATTTGGGGCTTGGCCTATTTCTGTTGCTATTTTAAGGCCCAAGGTGTGATCCTGGATCCCCTAAATACATAACTCAGCGGAACTGCTCGGGAATGTTCCTTTACCAAGTCAGACCAGTTTATGAAGCTGTATTTTTTCAAACAGTACCTTCAGAATTTACCATTCCTCATCAAACATGAAGCAGTGTTAAACTAACAGCTGGAAAACTTTAGGTCCACCTTGTTCAAATCTGTCAGATTACTGAGAGGGCCAAAGATAGTTAAACATCCAAATGTAAATTATCAAGTTATCACAACAGATTCTCTTATAATGTGTGTCCCACTCCCTATGAAGTTCTGTATGAAGATCCTTGGATGGGTTTCCTTCACTTCTATTTTCAACCTTCCAATTCACTCCAAAATCAACACAAAGAAGGCAATGGGAATCTTATGTGTCCAACAAACGTGAACTGGGGGTCAAGACATTACACTGAAGTTCCTTAAACTGCAACAAAATTACCTTACAGTGGGTAACCCACACACTCTTTGCAGTAGGAGATGCTTAAAGCCATATTTACTAATCTGTCCATGACAAAGTGGTCCTAGTAGAAGCTTAGCAAGCAGAAATGAAACACAATGCTGGAAATATTCCTTCAGCTCTTCCTTAATTTGTATATTTAGGCCCTCTAAGAGGAAAATAATTTTCAACATTCTGATTAAATATGACTGACTACATTGACAGGTTTGCCATATGGCCCAATTCCTACTACTTTGTCAGCACTTTTTAAAGACTGAACTGATTAAAAAAACCTGAAAGATGAACTTCCATGTAAAAAACGTCCAGCCTTTGATGATATGTGCTGATGCAGTATGAGGCAAACTTTCTTCCTGGTGAAATTTTTGCCATTAGGTTATTTAGGGTAAATCCCACCTCACCCAGAGCTGACCATTGATTGCCTCAGTGTCAGATTCTCTTGCCCATAGACTCAAAGACCCTTGCACAGGGTCATGCAGCACTTTTAAGAAACCTAGGAAGGAAGGACCATCTACTGCCCTTCCAAGTGAAACAGCCTGGAATTCCTTTCTTTTTCCCAAATACGTTATTTTCAGGGTGGCACCAATGCAAACATTTTCAGGTATCTCAGTTTCCTTCAAAATCTGACCAGTCTTTCACTGTCCACTCACCTCTCTGTACAGGTGGGCAGCCTCAAGAATGAAGAAACAAAACTGTTCTAAGGTGCTAAAATAACAAACAGGTGAAGCTGACACACAAAAAAACCCCATGAGCTAAATCAAAATCCTTCATGAAAGAACACAGAAATCTCACAGACTGGACTTGCTAACAAGTTTTCTTTAGGCATTTGAGCATTCCTGATGAGTAGTGAATACTCACTGGAGTACTGAGGACTACTCACAGGATTAAAACTAAATCAGGTCCAGGTGTTTGTTGCTTTCATCTGTCCTTGATTACAGAAACAGGTGTATGTTAAAAGATCAGAGCTTGCCTTTTGCAGTCCCAACACCTCCATACTCTTCTTTTGAATAAATCCTGTCAAAAAGGTTCTCTTGGCTTGTTTTTCATGTCTGTTTTCCCTTTGTTCCCTTCCCATGAAAGCACCTTGAACTCCAAGTCAGATCTTTCTTAAAAGAACTCCTCCATGCTCAAAACTTTGCCATCATTATTGTAGGTAGACTTTGTTTATATATTATTATATATCTGGACTTTAGACCTGTTATTACATTTAAGATTTTGCCATCATTATTATATAGAGACTCCCAGCTGAGGTGAAAGTTTTGGTGGAAGAAATAACTCTTGATGAGAAGAAAGGACAGATAAGAGATGAGTGAAGAGAAGCCAGCAGAGAGAGCATCAGAGTCTCCCACGGGGCAGTGGCAGAGCAGAGAACAGCACCCAAATATTGTCTTTTGCCCCAGAGCTCCAAGCATTACAGCGTTTCCTTTCCCAAACATGATGTATCCAAATGTACCTGCCTCTGTATCTCTTAGAACCACCTTCAGAAAGATATGGTGCTATTTATTCATCTTTGTAGTATACAAACCATTTAAAGCACATGTTAAAAAAAAAAAAAAATGCCGGCAATTCTACCCCAAAGTCACAATTGTGTGAAGCCTGACAATTCTCAGTCATTCCTACAGGAAATATTTGCAAAGAAAATGCACAGATTTAAATATAAACTTAAACAAGTTACTTTGAAAGGAAATGTTTTCCAATTGAATTTAAGTTATCAGTGGCAAGAGAACACAATAAAGGGCAGGTAATGAAAGGCTCTGTTGGAACATGGTGTTTTATACACATTTCTAGTCAGAGATTAATCCTTAAAATATTTTTAAAATATTTTTTAAAAATTCTTTTCTGAATAAAAGCATATTTACGGTTTTATTAAAATTGGAAACATTTTTCCCCTTAGTGTAAAATGTTTTCAGAGTTTATTTCCAAATTTGGGAACTGGTGTGTGATTGTTCTAATCAAGGGATCTTAAGAAAACAGATCTATGGTATGTGGGAGATGAGCTGCAAATAAAAGACGATTTCTTGGAGAAAATAATTGTTCTGAACAGCAGACTAAGTCAGTGCTGCAGATGCTGTATCAAAAGGAGAAAAAAATCAAGAGAAAAGCAGTAAAATATTTATTTGAAGTCTTCAAAAATAAAGATCCCATGTATTTGTAAGGAAGATATAAATAGCACATACATATTTAATGCTTTAAAAATTCATAATGTACTTGCAGCAAAGAGCATCTCTAACAAACCCACAGATGCCACAACACAGAAGCCATTTGCAGTGAAGTGGGTGAGCTTAAAGGAAAGGAAATCCAATTGAGGTGGTTGCTGATGTATCACAAATTTCAGTGCTATAAACACTTGGTGAATCATCTTTAGAATAATTGTGCCTTGGTATATCCTTGGGGAACAGTCCCCTGACAGTCAACCCTTGGGACTTTGGCAGGAAGGAAGTGTGGCCCTCAATGACCTGGAGAAAGGTGATGTCTCGATTCTTGGAATCCACGACAAAACAGGAATCAAACTCAAGGAAATGGAGAAATGGCCTTTCACACACAAAACATGAGGAAAAAAAGATGTAAGCACTCTGTACATGCATCTTGCTGGTGGGGAGGGGTGTTTAGTTTAACCTCACATTTCTTAAGTGCTTTTAGACAATTTAAAGTGTCTGAGCTCTTGTTTTCTGGATGGTTTGTTGACTGGAGTTGAATAAATTGTGTGTGTGTGTATGATCAGATTAAGGAATTTGGTTAGAATGAATTTCTCCTCTTGTAGATTGCAGAGCAAGGCTTATTTACTGTGTATCAAATACTGGTGTCTGAACAGTTCAATGTTTTTGTCTCTGTCTCAGAAGAAGGAGTTAAACTGTTGCAGCATTTTGTTCATATCTTTCTACTTAAGAGAATAATTCTGGGATATTTGACCCACACTTTTATACAATATTTCATATTTCATTCCTAAATAATAAAATGAACTATATCGTCACACAGATTTAAGATCTACTTAATTACAAATTCATAGCTACTTAGTAGAATCTTTGAGTAGCAAGATAATACTTCTATTTTTAATGCTGTAATACAGCACCTTCATGTGCTTGCTTCTACATATCTATAAAATTTGAGAGTTTCCTGTGATAAAATGCTAATCTCTTTCCTTTCTCCAGGGAGTTGTTATTTTCCTCTCCCCTGACTTTGACTTACAGCATATGGACCAATTCCCTTGAAGAAACATCTTGAAGAAGCAACTGCACACCCAACTCATCAGCAGCTCTTGATTTTTATCTCTCTGCTTTATCTCCAGGTTATTTTGGGAGCACCTGGGGATTGAAGACCATTCAGATAGGGCTGATGACTTATTGCTATGTATGTGGTAAGAAGGTCAGGCTGGTTTAACTGACCTTTCTGGAGGTGGGAAACCTCCAGGTCTGCATGTTGCCTTTTTGCAGTCCTGTGTGGAGGGATTGGTTCACAGATTAAACATTATCAGGTTCTGTGCTTCCCTTTCTGGTTTCACTTCCATTTATATTTAGGCAGGGCTATGGAAATGTTGACAGGAATTGTTAAAAGCAGTGGTGTCAGCTTTTTCTCCTTTATGTTAGGGACGTTTGGGAGGGAGGAGACAAACCCTGCTACCGAAAGAACCAGAGCAGGACTCTGGAAAAGTTTAATCCAATGCCATCTCCATCTGACTCTTGAGGATGCCAATGCCATGAGCTGCTTCCCCCTTCTCTTTGGCTCTTTCCAAGGGTTTTCTTCCCTGTATAACGAGAACTATGGTCCTGAGTTTGGTTGTAGAGGAGCTCCTGGAGCACTTAGCTGGGAGCTCACAGCCAGGCTCCTGGGGAGTTCTGTGCTGGCCAGCACAGATCCTGCTGCTCCTGGGCCAAGGAGCAGGGGCTGCTTTTTAAGGAAAGCAAATACTGCAGATGCTGCAGAAAGGCTTTGCAGTTCTTGCCAAAAATACGGGTACCCTGCCAGACCAGAGGGCACAGTCATCTGCTCTGTAACAACTCCTGGGGAATGGGTGTGGACTGGAGAGTCCAGTACAGCAATTTTAGAAGACATTCAGGGCCTGTTTGGTGCTGGGATATGCTGTCTTGGACTCTTACATTGCCACAGCACGATTCAGAGCAGTGGAAGGACTGCCAGTTTTTACGGTTTCCCCAAGTGCAACTTCTTTTGATCATGGCATAACTAATAAACTTTTCCAATCTAGATTTGTACAGATTTGGAGGTACTTTTTTCCATAGCTGCAGAGTCTGCAGTTTATTCTTTCTAGAGCTGTCTGACCAGATTGGCATCTGTGCCCCTTCAGAACATGCTGACATTTGCACTACAACCTCTGCCCTTCCCCCCTCAATTTGAGGAACTCATTGACTGACACCTGCATTTACATATATGCAAAATTTAAAATTCTTATTTACAGTATTAATTGAAATACTCATCTCAAAGACAGAATTTGCAAAAATCTTTTTTGAGAATTATTTGATTCTCGATCCCCTAAAAGAAGTTTCTAGCCAGACTTTGTCATTCATTAATTACAGGATTTTAGAATCCAGTCTGAACCTGCCCCTCAGTCTAACAGCATAGTTCTGGAATTACTCCAGAACTGAAGACACAAATCCTGGAGTGTGGACTAACATAACTGAGAACCACTTGCCTAAGACCACATGTTTGCAGCAGAGAAAGGATTTAAAACAGTTTTATCAACAACAGATACAGAACAGCTATCATTTAGCGAAAAGAAATAAAAAGAAATTCCCTGAAAATAAAGAAATATATCCCAAAACTTTTATCAGTGAATACATATTGCTCTAGACTGAGAATCAAGCTGAAAAGTGGCCCCTTATATATAAAAGAGAGAGGAAAAAACCTGCAGAGGGCATTCACTCACTTTTAAGGGTAGAAAGTCCCAGAAAATCCAAGAGCTACAAAAAGTCAGATCTGCCCCAATCTCTGACTGCACATCTTTGGGAATTAAACTACATTTATAGAAATAGGTAATTTCTTTCTAGTATTTTTATCACTAATGTATTCACATCTCTGCTCTCATATGTGGAATATATATTAGACTCATAAAAATGAATTGAAATTTACTATTTCCTGGATTATCTTATTCCAGTTAAATCCTCGATTCATAAGGCAATTGCTGAAGATAAATAGAACTTCATGAATTGTTCATAAACTGCACAAATTCACAAGTTAGAGATGAAAAATGTAAGCCCACAGAACCCTTCATCTGCAGGCCACAAATTCAAGCCCAGGTTTGAGATCAGCAGCGACCAAGATCCATTTTCATCTTATCACCTGGAGGCTTTCTTGGTAGCGTTTGTGAACTCAGTTTGTACCCTCAGTTCCATCTTTATGGGATAAGTGGCCACATAAATAATTCACTGGAACTTGTCAGAAACAAGAAGTTGTGAAATGTAAAGTCTCCCTCATCCAGCCCACTGTACAAGCAGCACACAGGAGCTAATTTTCTAACCTTTCACTAAGCTTTGCATGAAATGACACACAGGAGTTCTTGCACATTTTTAATAAAATAAAGCTCCTCAAATATCAATTCTTTCTAATAATATCCTCCTCTGGAAATACCACCTTTGTGGGTTTTCTGTTCTTTATTGGAAAATTATTAGGAAAACCTTCTCACCAGGGACCTTTGGCTACGCAACTGTTATAAAAAAAGCTTTTCCTTAAGGGAATAACTTTGACTTTCTGCTGTTAGAGGGGAGCACGTCAGAGTCAGATGTACCTGAAAGCAAGCACAGAAGGGCAGGGGGAACGTGCCACTACTTGCTTTAAGTTTTTCATAGGTTTTGTATTGTGGGTTTGATTCTTGGGATTTTTAATATAACAACACGTGGAACTTGAAACATTTTTTAGGATGCATGAGGAGAAGGTGTGGAGATTGACCCTCCCCTTTCCCCTGGCAGCACTCTGGCAGTGACTCCTGCAGAACACGGAATAATAGCAACACAAAATGCTTTGTGAGATCCTTGTTCATCTGAGGAGAGTGGAGAATCCCAGATTGGTGTGGGTTGGAAGGGACCTTGAAGCTCATCTCGTTCCAACCCCCTTGCCACGGGCAGGGAACATTCCACTAGACCAGGTTGCTCCAGGCCCTGTCCAAGCTGGCCTTGAAACACTTGAAAAACACAACACTGAGCCACTTGATCTGCAGCAATTTGGGTCTAAGGACTTTTAGCCAGTGATGTGAATGCCAACTCCTCTGCAATGTGGTGTGAAATGAAGAGATGCTGAAAGCCACCAATGCTGGACTGCTGTCTGTACTAAAAATTAAGTCTACGTGGATAGTCACTAAGTTCATTTCTCTAACTACATCTAAGGAACTAGAGTTTTAAATAAATCAGATTTTTATAAGATTTTATGTCAGCTTAAATGCTTTGCCCTCGCATGATCTGTCAGAAGAATTTTCCTGAGAAAGTGATCAAAAGTAGGCATTTATTTTTCGCTTACAAGGTTGATTATATCACACCACCACATGGAGACCTTAATCAAAAAATAAGATTTGTACTTGTGAATGAGTTTGCATCTGCCCAGAACATCACTGGAGAACCATTTCCAGTGCCCTCCATTTGTCCCCATTCACTACCCTGCATTCAGAGTATTAGAAATCAAAAATTACAGTACAACTGAAAATTACTCTTCTGCTTTTAGAGCAAGTGAAAATTTAGTCTCCAGGTAATCTCCTGGTAACCTCCAGGCTGCCCCGATGCAGACAAGTATGGAAGTAATGTGAGAATCATCCCTGTGCCTAAAGGTTTAGTTTAAAAAAAAAAAACAAAAACAAAACAAACAACACAAGAGCACTCCTTAAGTCACTTGTGTCTACAAAAACAGTCAACACACAAACACACAACATCAGGCAAAGTTACACAGCTCTGGCTATTTTGGCTGTACCTGGCTTACCAAAGGCAGTGCTTTTTTTGGTAAAAATCATGTTGAAATAATCAACCAGAAGCGACAATTAGTCATCCTGCAGCAACATCACACCCCTCAGAGCTTTGAGACATGGTCAAGGTTTTCTAAGGTGTATTTACAGCCAGTCAGTGACTGCAGAAAATATCACATCAATACACAGATCAAACTGATACTTAACGTGATTTTACAAACCATCTTTGTAAATTGGCTTTATGCAAATAAAAGCCACACTTTAATTGTTTTAAATATTGTCAGGGATTAAGCAATTAAGAAATACCCTTTTTTTATCTACTACATGGAGATAATTATGAATTGAAGTGTTAATGAACCTGTAGTCACGTTAGAGACTCTACAGGCTGAGCAGGACCTTGTGGAACAAGAATTTCAGGGAGAGTTCAACTGGGCACCTGCTGCTCCAGGAAACCCTTCAGGTTACAATTCATTCCCTGAGCAAAGGAGATTTTCAATCTGGCATCTTCCAAGGGGCTTGAACCTTTTCACAATGAGAGCTGGGCCCCTAAACCACTTGAAAATTCTACAGGTTTTACAGAAAAACTCACTTGATTAATCTCTAGCAGGCTCTGTAAGGTTAGTGACTAACTGTGAGGGGCCACTACTAATTTTTGTTATTAACCTCATTTGATAGAAAGATAATTTGTTTCTCCATTAACGTTAATCCCTTTAAAATATTTCTAGTGGTTCTTCCATTAATCCATGGCCTTTATTTGATTGCAGGGAGACTAATTGCAGAGTAAGATAATGCTTTGTATGAATATGTCTTGCAAAAAAAAAAACAAAAACCTGAACTTATCTTTGACAAAAAGGTTTTCTTGAGAGAGGAGCATTTCATCCCTTTTATGTTTCCCAGGCCTAAAAAAGGTTAGAATGTGAACCCTATATAAGGTTTCCTAGGTGAAAGAGTCCAGCAGCATGTAAAACTAGGATTTTTATTGTATTCTTACACCAAACACAGCTAAAATCCTTCAGCACTTTTAAAATAAAAACAAAACTTGATGGGTAGATAATATTTTCCTTCTAACTGCTGAGAAATAGATGAAATAAACCCACTATTTTTCCTCCTTTCTTTGTACAGTGCTGGGCTCGTCCTTCTAGAGTAGTAATGGGTACTTCAATTTCCTGGGATTTGGTAAATCTGGGAACATGATGGCATAAAAATTTAGTCCTGTTAATAAAACAGATGTAACCCTCTGAACTGTGTGGCAACAAAAACAAAGACCTTTTGCAAGGACCATTGGTTTCGGCAGCATTTTGGGAGCTCATGTCACCTTCACTTTAAACTCAGCAATAGAACCATCGATTTAATTAGGTGGGGAACAATGACAAAGGCATGGAAATTGATCTGGGATGGAGAAAGTACACATTTTTGGTGAGATTTTCCCCCTGAATTGCTCATTACCAGAGCAGTTAATACTACCTGATTAGTGGCTGTGTTTAAATTCCCATGTTAACACACAGAAAAACTGTCAGACTTTCTGCATCTGTGAACTGCTCCCTAAACATGTAGGAAAATCTAATCAGAAAATTATCATAAAATTCTCAGAAAAGTATCAGAAAATTCCCTGACTGTGTTGTCAAGCCTCTTGTCCTGGCTGTGAAGATCAGTATGAAGGCCTGATGTCTCAGTGCTCCACACCTCACATGGTTCTTTCCCTGTGCCCCAAAGGACATATAAACCATATAAAATCCAAGGAATAGGATCCCTGTTTTATATAAGCTTTATAAACCCTTAATTTGGCATAAATGGGGGAG